TGAGAATTGCCAGAATATCGTCTGCCATGAATATTAGACGTATGTCGAAAGACGACCTCTCTGAGACGCCGTAGAAACCTGGATGGCCCTTCTACGGCGAGGCTCAGTGAGGTCACTTCGCCCCGCCTCCCTCCGACCAAAGATCAATATTCAAAATATCACCTAATGGTAAAGTTTGAAAAGTCAATTTGGGTCTATTTCAGTTAGGAGGCATCATGATGCAGTTTCTCGGCGAACTAGTGTGAACTCGAACATTCCAGCTTTTCACGCATGTCAAGTGACTGCCCTCACTCCCAACCTCCGTAGATTGGCTACACTCCCTGGCTCGGAGTTACCCTAGCTTTCTGGAAACTGCATCGATGCCCCTCTAACTGGAATAGACCCGTCAATTCAATCAAATGGTTTGACCCTCTCGCATTCTGTTTTGTATCGAAGCATGGTGCGCGGTTTACACCTTGACGCTAAAAGGACGTGGCTGCAATTCCCCCTCCCCCCACTACCTTAGCACTCGTTCTGATGTAAAGGCACAACCTAGGCAGAAGTCGTGCTTCAAGCCTAAACTTAAGGTGGTGAGCCTTGATCGCATCTATCTAAGAACTCGTCATTTCCTTAGCGCTTTCAGCCAGTGCTGTTTCCATTCCACAACGAGTGTACTGGAGCGCCGCATTCTCTTTAGAGCGTACTATCGGCGTGTCGCTTGAATGCCGACATTTGTGAAGTAGTGAGGCGCCGATAGGTACATTTCTTCATTTCTTGTTTTTGTTTTTGAAAGGAACTGTTTCTCTTTTTCGCTGATGGAAATTTGCATTCTGTTCGGATCATGCAATTTTGTCTTGAAGCCTCTATTCCGTAGAATCTTGAGGTGCAGCCATTTTCAGGTTCTCATGACAACCCGTTCGAGTACTTCTCGGCGATCGTTGTCTGCTTTGGCCACCTGTACATCATTATCTCAAGCGATCAACAGCATAGACAATAGTAAGCCAGCAGTCGTACTCGATCTTGGCAGGAGGCTCACAAAGTACGTTCAGAATTTTCATCATTTTGCCGCTTTCACTTTTGTTACTGTCCTTTGCACAGAGGTTATGTCACTTTGACTGATGGTTTTTTCGAAGTAGGCTGAATTATTGTAAGTTGTTGCGCTCTAACGCTTACCTATGTTCATGTTTTACCATCGTCAAATTGTAGATACTCTCGCATACACAGGGTCCCACTACGGATAACGTAATTACGGGCTTAGTAAGACGTGTTGCATCATTGGGCATCAATAGCAACAGAAATCGCCACGTAGGATAGAGTTTAGGGCCTTGCCTTGTGTGAAAAAATGAATGGTGGCGCCTAGTCCAGTAGGGGGGGGGGGTGCGCGGACAAGTAGGACAGAAAGCGACCCTTCCCATTTCGCAACGCGAAACACTTTTCGCTGTAGGGACCTCAGGTCCATCGGTGATCATGGAGTTCTTGCAGCGAAAAAGGGCGAAAAAGTCGCTTTCTGTCCTAGTGAACCACACCCGAGTGTGCGCTTGGTGCGGCAGTTGCTGCCGTCTAGAAATCCAAAATCTTACCGGGAGTGAAATCTTCCGCGTGCGTAAACCATTTCGCTTCTGCTTTTACACCCACCCTGGGCTTCCTTTCCTCGCGGAAAGAAATTGCATTACTTCAGGCGATATGAACTGCCGCACCGCACGTCCCCCTTACGGGATGTGGCCCGAATGGTCTTGTAAGAATCTCCATGAGCTCGAAAGGTGATATTTCGCTTCACGAGAAAGATCTCTTGACGACTAAATCTGCGTCAAAACACCACACCACGATTGCCCTCCTCTCCTTTTCTTGCTTAAACTTTAGAGTCTGATCGGAAATTCCACGACGGTTCAATGGTAGGGCGATGGAATTGAGCTTTGCTGAAGGGAACTTATTTTCGGAGCACGAGCAATTTTCAGGCCAGGGTTCTTCCTCGTCCGGATGTGAAAGCATTTTTGGTTGGGTTTTTTTTTCAGAATCCGACTTAGCGATTACATTCACTAAGGTCTTCTGATCGAACATACAGGCCCAAATTCGTCTCCATGTTCTTGCAAGGCCTAGCTGCAATCCATCATAAGCTTGCGTAACATTGTTGCGGTGAATTCTGCAATATGTAGCTACAAACTCAATCGATGCACCCTTCGCAAACGTGACTGCATTATTCGATTGAAGTTGAAAAATTTGCAAGTTATGATAGTTTCCGTGTTTGGTTTTCAGAAAATTGGAGAAGCGAACTTTGGTCTCATTCGGCATTCCATACAATTTTTTTCTTATTTCGGTTATCCAAACAACAATTATTTGTGAAGAGCTATTCGAATATTTTGTTGTTCAGGAGCATAGGCTGTCGACCAGTAAAATTCTATCAGCCTCGCTCCTTGAAAACGATGACTTCTCGAAGATGTAGCTCGCTACGACAGAAAGCGACTTTTCCGCGTTTCGCAGCGCGGGGCATTTTCGCTGCAGGAACCTCAGGTCCACTCATGACCAGCGGTGGACCTGAGGTTCCGCAGCGAAAAATGTTTTGCACTGCGAAACGCGAATAAAGTCGCTTTCTGTCTTTGCGAACCATAGCCACTTTTCGAAGCAAACGTGTTAACAGTTTCAGGAAGCCCTCTGTCATTTTTAGGTGGATTCTACCAATCCCGTGGGAATTGTATACTTAGATCATCATAAGCAAAATGAAGCGAGTGCAGTATTCTTGTGCTCATGTACTTCCCACTTTCAGAGTTGGATATGCTGGGGATTTTGTACCACGAGCGATAATTCATTCGCAGTTCTTGGAAGAATCTATTTATGAGTGTGGTGACACTACTTGCGACCGTCCTCAAGCTTCACAGCCAAGTTTGTCTCGAATGGTGAAGAATTCTTTCGCAACATTTTCAACAGGTTTTTAGGTATAGCTATGAAGCTTACCGCTACGCGCCCTGTGAAGGTCAGTAGCTGAAGTTAGAACAGTACAGCCTCTTTTAGTTATCTCCTGACTATGCCACGTGAACGACGAGTAGTGATTGTGGAGAGCTTACTTACTCCTACACAATTCAGAGAAACTGTTTGTGAGGTGAGAGCAATTCAGTCCTGACTGAGTGTAGGTTGTTGTCGATTACGAGAATGATGCATTCATATTCATTCATAAATGCATATAATTTGAGATTATTTTCTTGTTCATCTAAGATTTTTCACTTCAAAAAAGTTTGTTTCAGGCGCTTCTTGAAGTTCTGAATGTACCCAGTGTTCTTTTTATTCCTTCTCATCTCGCTGCAACATTCCCTTTCAATACAGAATATGCGCTCGTTGTAGATGTCGGATATGTGGAAACACTCGCAGTTCCTGTGAGTTGGATTTTTATTGTATGTGTTGAGGCAGAATTGAATCTTTTCCACTGTATTTCCGTACTTGTTTCCATTTGTTAACGCCTCAAATGCGATTGGCCAGGCCATTCTCTGTTGATTCCTTCAGTTTTTCAGATTGCTGAAAGTGTAACTATGTTGTCTTGTTGGGAACTTTCAAGTGTTGGTTCGAGAAGATTGGAAGACCGCGTACGGGAATTGCTCAAGGTTCATGGCCGCGTGGACAGTGGTGACGGTGTTCGTGAACTGAACGAAGACGACTGGAAAATAATAGAGGTGGGCCACTATCACATATTATTAAAGTTATGCTGAAATTAGTGGCGATTGAGCGTCGGGGGGCTTCCAATGCAATTCATCATACCATACTAAAGCAGAGAGCAGCAACATATCCACCAATTCATTGGCGATCTTAAGCGCAGATTGGCAGTCATTTAGAAAACAGCTCATTGTACACAGAAACAAAGAAAAGAAATGCATTTTCGATGTCTTTTCGGACGTTGTAACTGGTTCGCATAGAAGGTTACCAGTGTATTGAAACCTTCCTTCGCCCTTGTTCAATTCTCTTTTCAATTCGTCTTCTTTTGAGTGCGATCAAAACGACAGTGAGCCAGACAGATGAGAATTTTTGCGCAAGCCTAGGGGTTGAGGAGCTATTACGTGTCACTGTGATTGTGATTCAAGCCCATTGTGCAGGAGTTCTCGACCTTTTCTTGCACCGAAACGCCCCTCCTTACAGGGAAAGCGCCTACCTAGTGTTTGTTTGATCTTTCCATCTCTGACGCATGTTTAAAGCACTGCATAAATACAAATAACGCTTCGTTTGGCATTTTACCATTCTCTCGAAGTGTTTTAGTATTCGTTCATTGTCCCTTTTCGTTTAGGACTCCAATATTGTGGAAGATATATGTGTACGTTTTGTCTTTTGCTGTCCCTTTGAACGTGGTCAAGCCATCCAGGCAAGTGGTGCGGAGCACGGTTTGCCTCCGGTGAAATCTGTAAAAGTACCCCTTGGTGCTGAGTTTCTCATAATTCCTGGATTCGTAAGGTTAGTTCTTTTAAGTAGGTCTGGCATAAGTGTTTGAGAATAAAATTGAAATCTCAACACGAAAACTTTCTTTTTGAAATATTAATAAAATTCCCCTGCGATCAATCCTCTGAGCGCGTGTATGTTGGTTGCACGATGGGCGCTCACTGGTGGTTTCACAATCCTGTCGATTTGTTGCTATCGGTGAGACATGATGCTCATGCAGCTTTCTAGTATATCATACGAGCTGATAAATGTAAATTTGTCTGACGTACAGATTTCAGTCAGATTACCGATTATTCCGCAAGCCCAGCCAACGCAAATTTTGAACCACTAGTACAATTTTGCCGAGGACGAACTGAGGAAGAGACAGGCGGGTGAACAAGCTACACCGGCTTATTACTTGAGAACTGGGGAATTCACTCGATTTCAGTACTTCAGTCAAGTATAGAAACATCCTTATGGTTTCTTCTAGCTGACAAGCGCATTTTCCGTGTTCACTGGAAAAACCTTTGTTGAGACCTACCAATATTTTATCAACATAGTAAGCTGATGGTTTCGGTATTTAAGAGAAGCTGCCTGCGAGGTTTTCTTCGAACGCAGCAATGAGGATCCCTCCATTGGACAAATGATCCACACACTTGTTGAAAGAGTATGTACTGCTTCACATTTTTCTGTTTAGATTTTCATACTGCACTCCATTGTTAGCCTGCCGTGGTCACTCTCGTTACATCCTTTCTTTTTGAATAATCTAGAAATCTTTCATTCTTAGGGTATGAATTGAAGACTGCTGCAGTAGACGTATTTTTTTCAAAACTGTTTGCCGTAATTTTCTCTTGGTATGGTGCATTCACTTCCTACAAATTTTTTCAGTGCCCACTGGACTTACGCAAACTAATGTTCGAAAGCATTCTGCTGACTGGAGGCCCTACGCTTATTCCAGGATTCCTTGCTCGTTTGAAGGTTTGCTTTGAATAAATTTGTAAACGGCTGTCAGTCGGGAGGTCATCTGAAGTTTACAAAGTGCACGACCTTTTTTTCTAATTTGGTTTGATTTTTTATCGAGAGTTTATTTTTTTATTAGTTGTATCCTTCTTCGAATCAACCAAAGTGTTGTGTAGCCTTGTTACAGCCTCTGTTTTCCTACACCATCAACCATTACATCTTTCTCTTATTGCTACCTCCACAGCCAATTTTTTGATGTCTGCCCATTGTCCAATTGGGCTTCCTTGCTTCGATGTCTTCTTTCTAATCTTTTTTCCCAAAAAAACATTTCACCATTGTGCGCATCCTACTATCCAACGTATTTTCAAGAGAATGATCTGATCTTTACTGTAACGCAAAGTGTATTGTTCAATCGAAAATTGCGCTGTTCTCGTTTCATTATGAAGTGGGAACTTAAAGGAGGATGTTACGTTAAGTTGGTTGTGGGAGAAGCGGAGTATGCTATCTAGAAAGGATCGCCGGGTCTTCAGGAAGCGAAAGAGGATTGTGTGGTAGCGAAGGGCTCGCCCATCGAAACCTAGAAAACCCTGACCTTGGCGGAAGTCACCTCCCGTGGGGAGCCATACCTCCAAGTGGAGGACTCTGGCTACAGTTGGTTGGATGATCATGTGTTATTGCCATACTTTGTTCTTCCTTTTGAAGCTCCACTATCTTTAGGAGGATGCGTTTCCCATCCTGAGTTTTTTTGTGTAATGCGTTATTTATAAGAAAAATGATTTTTGTCGGCATGGTGCCTGTTATCGGGATTGATACAGGCAGTTAACTAACTCTCCATGGTCACCCACGGATTCTGAGCAATTTTTTTCAGGGGCTTTCATTGACCGGTGCACACTTCATCACCTCTACTTTCAGCTTCATTGAGCAATGATTTTTTTTTCGTAATATTCGTTTCTAAACCTCATATCTAAGGAGGAAGTCTTCTTGCATGCTTCGTACATAGTAAAAAATAGATCATTGAAGGCGTTCTTAAGTCACCACTCACTATAATTTTAGAAAATTGTTCGTGTCTACACGCTTGAAAGAATGCTTTTAAAAATCGAAAATCATAAGTTTTTGTACCTTTTATATGTTGTCAGGAATCTTCGTTGATTTCAATCATGTTAAGGAAGAGATTGCCGACATTGCGAAGACGAGCCCTAGTAAAATGAAGCAATGCGAATCCATTCGTTTCTATAGGTTTCCGAATCAGACAACTGAATTGTATTTGGGATGGCTTGGAGGTGATGGAATTTTTTTTTTTTTAAGAAGTCGACTTTTTAAATTATGGCTATTTTTCAGTACAAAGAAGTCGACTTTTTAAATTATGCTATTTTCAGGAATAGCAGACAATTCGCTTAGATTCACAAAGTGCCTCATTGCAGGAGTTATGTTCGGCATTGCCAAGATCGTGACGAGACGGTCAGTATCGAGAGAGCGTCGTTGAGAGCCGCATACTTACCTGGACTGGACAGACTTACTGATCAACATGGAAATACTGCGGAAAACCTGCAGCCTCGATCGGGGACGAGGATGAGACATTTTGTTATGGCCTATCGCGATACTATCATAATAAGTCATTACTTTTGAACGCGAAGTGTCCCGTTTGATGCAATACGGGTGAGGAATAAAGTATATGGTTAGTATATGGTGAATATGTTCTTAGTTTGGAGAATGAAGCGCATAGCTTTCCGAGCTGGAGGTGTGAGGTGTGGAGTACAGCTAGAGAGCCCTCTCAACATATGACATCAGGCTGACTTCAGAGTGACATGGAGGTCAAAAAATTACGTTTTGAGCAGGGATTATAAAGCGGCTCGTATGCTTGACTCGGAGTCGGGCAGAGAAAAGTTAGGGAGAAACATGAAGACAAGGATCTCACGTGGACTCTCAACAAGAGGTGCTCTGGAGGACTTCCTCTGGTTGCCTATCACTAATCCTTGCTGTCTTTCTTTTTCTTTGATGAGTCCGTTGAATAGTAGCGTCGCTGGTACATATAGATTCGCTGATGCATCGGTCGATTCGCAAATTATGTCATCAGCCTTACGTGGGCATACGTGGTACGATCAAAATGAAACTTTTGCTTTTGCGCGATGCCCTCATCAGGACGTTCATACCTGTTCTGGATTGATAACAATGCCAAAGAAGGGTCCGTTTTCGTTTCTATGGGCAGGATTCTCCACTTTTTTCACCACTGGACGTATAATGGAGGCCCACCGTTCCTATAAACCCTTCTTTAAAGCAACAGTTCAGGGAGGGTCCGAAAATTTCAATGCCACTACTACTGAGGGATACACGAGCCCTAGTGAAGAACATATGCAGTGGAAATAATAAACGAACTTACCTCAGAAACTCAAAAACAGGGTGGAAAGTCCCTCAAACATGGGTGTTCTTGGGGATTTCCCCAATCCCGCCCCCTTGCCGGCCGTCATTGGACGCGTCGGCAATCGTGCTCGTTTTGGGACCACAGGGAAAATTGATTGAAAAATGGAGCGCGTTTACAGCGGGCACGTTCAGACAACTCGTCCAACGTGCGTCTTTATCCATTGCTGAGCGGCAGAGGGAGAGTACCTGTCTAAGACCCTCCCCGACGTTTTTTTCCAGTTTTTCATACATTAATCGTCTGGTTTTCATCTACAACTTCATTATTGGTGGTTTTTTCCCGCGAAACCGTTCCTGAACTGTTGCTTTAAGTATTGTAAACGACCTTTAACGTGCAGCACTCTGAAGCAAAAGTTCATTCAGTCTCGGAATGAATTGCGGTCAGACAGCCGTTCGTGAACACCTTCGTCGAATGTGGCTCGCGTTTTCGTCACGCTCTCTGCGTCTACGCCATGGAGCCGCGTACATTCACTCTCGGAACACTGCGCGCAGAGCTGCGTCGAAGCAATCCCTGCGGCTAGTGAGCGTGCGTGCCCGTATGTCTATGTCTAGCTAGTGAGCAGTCAAAGGGTCAAGCTCACGTTACGCCAAGTGATCCATCCCTGAAGCTCTTGAAGCTTTTTAGGACGTGCTCTCGAAGTAAAAAAAAAAATATACCAAAGCTGACATGGAGAGAGAAAAGGGGGATGGGCAAGATGCTGTGGAGCAAGGTTCTGATTGCGAATTTTTCGGAGAAACAATTTATGCCTAACATTTATGGCACATCTGGCCTAGGAGTGTAACGACACACATAACGAATACAAAGATCTATGACAATTCATAAACTCATTCGTAAGAAAGAGAGAATATACAAGGCTGCTATTCAGTGCACATAAGCGGCCATGAACATACAACGTTCATTATTTCCCAGTGATATCTTTGGCATCAAGAAGTCTGGAGGGCCCATTGCTGATGTTATTTGGCTTCCTCCGTTTTGGTTTCCGTAGGAGCTGGCGGCGCTCCACTTCCCACAATTTTGATTGGAATCGCACGTGCAGGTGAGCCTTCCTTAAACAAATTGAGCCACTTCAGAGACTGTCTGACGTACTTTTTGCTGGGCAGTTACCTTTGGTTTCAAGGGAATGGCCTCAATCGTTAATGTTCCATCACTGGTCAGCTTGCTTGACACTCCTTCCGGCTGGAACATTTCGCGGTAAATTGAACTTTCTAAAAACAGCTGGAATTACTCCGTAAAATCGATAGCATCCTTAAACCTGTATAAGATAAGAAAATACCGACCAAAGTTGTTTATTTTTTACAACCTTCTATCGGACTTCCTTTTCAAGTAGTCAATGCGCAAGGCGGGCACATTTTAGAAGGGCGCTTTTTTTGCCCTTTTCCGCTTTTTTGTTCCCATTTTTCCAGTAAGAGACGAGGATAGATAAGATTGCAATGCAAACACCATCAATTATATCAATTCAAAGGCGGATTTTGTATTGAAAAAGCAGCTCTTTAGAAATAAGGGTAGAGGTGGCCAGTGATGCAGGGATGAAAAAACCATGAGAAACGGCCCAGAACCCGAGAAATGGGACCCCTTCCTTGCCCGTTGATTTCCGCATTGATGCGACTCTCATCGGTGCTGCCCTCTTCAACGCTAACGCTCTCTCTGCTAAACGGCTAGAGGTCAGACAGCGAGAGGGAGGCGTACCGCGCCGATAGCGCCGCGGAGAGGATGCTAGATCGCGGGCATATCCTTCGCTGCGAATTGCGTGTTGGTACGCACCCTCAGGAAGTTCGCCTCTCTTTATACTAGGTTAGTTCCCCTTCCTCATCCCTTATCGTGGAATCCTTTTTTTGAGGTGGCCTATGCACGCCCCTTCACCATCACAATCCTTTATCCACCAGGGAAGAGTAAAGTGTAGAGTCCAATGGTGACCGTGAGCCGTAACGGCTCAACCTCACAACCTAATGACAGGAAAATCGCTACAACCAGTAGGACTGCGTATAGTCCATGCTTCTCGTCCAAAGGTGACTGTTTTGCAAGAAGTCGTAGGTGTGCATTGAAGTGTTTTAATCCGCGGCAATTGCCATGCTGTATTCCAGACG